CCTCCCCACTGATAATAGTAGCAATGGCAGTGATAATACATTTTAAGCAGGAAAACAGTCAACAAAGAATGGGCTTTTGAGATCCAAAAGAAAGCTTTTACAAAAAGTAAGTCAGGGTTGAGATAAGCAGGGAGAAGGGAGGCAAGCCCTGGCTTTAGAGAGGCCACCTAAGACTTCGGAGAGGTGGTTCTGATGAAGTGTTAGGAACTGCTACCCACAAGGGGAGGGGGACATGGGAGAGGGAGGGCTAGAGGATGTGAGCCACCCTTCTCAGGAGACTGGTTGTGAAGGAACAGTTGGGAGCAGCCACTTGACACTAGAGCTGGGGCTCAGTTTTCTGGGCTTGGAAAGTGGTAAGTGCATCTGTTGGAGCGGAATCTGCCTCTATCATTATAATGAGTTGCTGCTTGATATTTGAAACCTACCATCTGCTAAGGAAGCTCTGGGCTCCCCTTCTAATCCTTTGGCCTCTTATTTTTCATTTCACGTAAAATTTCCATAATTTCCTTGTGATGTGAGAAAGCTGGAAATTGGACATTTCCTGGAGCATTCAAAGGCTGAGTTCCACGGAGACCATCTCATGCTCAATCAATGTGACATGTCTTCCCTGGTTCTCAGCTTGACTCTTCCAAAACATGAAACTGGAGATGGGTCCCCAAAGACACTTTAAACCCCCAGTATCACCTTACATTTGTACAGTAATGGCCCAGCCCCCGAGTGTTTTGAAAGCCATTGTTCTAGCTCATTCTTACAATGCCCCCAAGAGGAGTGAGCATGATGAGAAAATGCCAGGCCACTGACAATGCCAACCAGCTCACCAATAAACGGCTGGAAGTTCCTTAACTCTAGTGAGGCCATGTTCTTTCCTCCCCCTCTACTCTTTCAAATTATCAGCAGCAGCAGTGACAGCTTGTGCCTCGAGAGACAGATGGGGCCAAGGAGGAGGTCTTCAACTGCACCCCTGTCTAAGTTACTGGTTCCGTTGAGCAGCACTCTGGCACTACAGAATGTCTAAAGGCCCTCTCCAAACTTCTAAACCTTGCATTCTCATTAAAATCCTCCAAAGGCATTTATAATGTATTCCTTTTTATTTTTATACATATTTGGTTCTTTGGTCAAAGATACCTCATTATCTTCTCTTGTAGTGGTTCTCAACCTTCCTAATGCTGTGATCCTTCAATACAGTTCCTCATGTTGTGGTGAGCCCAAACCATAAAATTATTTCATTGCTACTTCATCTAATTTTGATACTATTATAAATCATAATGTAAATATCTAATTATGTAATACTTCATCTAATTTTGATACTATTATAAATCTTAATATAAATATCTGATATGTAATATATTTGATATATGACCCCTGTGAAAAGGTTCTTTGACCCCCAAAGGGGTCACACCCCACAAGTTGAGAACCATTGTTCTGTCTCCTTCTCTCTCATACCAAATCTCTTCTTCCTTCCAAGTCTTCGTACTTTCCTGCCCCCGTTTATGTGTGATCCACTATATTTAGTTAATGGTGCCTACATGAGCATGGATGAAGTGGTATTTGTTTAACTGGGGGCAATGTACCAGTGGCTACACCACTGAGAAATACAAGGACAATTTTCAAAAGGAAGATGCCTGGGACCTATGGTTAAAGTGAAAGATACTTCCAGGTAGTTCTAATATGCATACATGAAAGCCAGTGAAGTTGGCACTTTAATGATGTAGGGAAACAATTTCAGAAAGGGATCCTTCCTCTTTGAGGATGTTCACAGTGGCAGGTCCTCCTCTTATATAGCCAGAGCCCAGACACAGGGAGTATCTTTAACATTGCTAACCTACTGGGAGGCACACCTGACACTCTGACAATACTCCCCAGGCTGACCAGTTCTCACCACTTCTGCTCACTCTCTTTCTTGATGATGCTCCAGCGTTCTCACCATTTGGTGAGCCAAGAGTGAGATGGTGTATGCCCATCAGCCACAGTTCCTGGTTATAAATACAGTTTCTTCCTTTCCCTTGAATATCAACTCTTCACAGCCTAGTTCTGTGGAACTCAATGGAAAAGGTAGAAATCTTTTTTTTTTTTTTTGATTTTTCAAGACAGAGTTTCTCCGTAGCTTTTGGTTCCTGTCCTGGAACTAGCTCTTGTAGACCAGGCTGGCCTCAAAGATTCACCTGCCTCTGCCTCCTGAAATCTTTATCTCAGAAAAGTCTTTCCAGGCATTTCTGCCACAGTGTACCTACCCCATGGATCTCTGAGAGACAATCTGAATTTATTTCACTTACACTTGTAAGGTGCAAGGGCAAAGGCTTGACTGCCTCCTTTATTGACCATATACCCAATGCCCAGGGCATAAGGTGTACTTTTAAAAACCAGCCAAGTCAAAGAGACCAGGGGGTTGGAAAGTGGAAACATGTTTCTGAAATACAATGGGCACATCTAGGCTTTATAAATACTTTACTGGGAGAAGACTTTGTGTGGAGAGTCACTGTGCTGATGTAGTTAAGTTAGATCTTGATAAAGGGGGCAGATACACAATTACAGACACTAACCAGATCTCATAGATGTGTCCACTGCATGGAGAATTCCATGTACACCACATTAATAGACCATCTACGTGTATGTCATTCATGGAGGGTTTTGTCAGTTGCCCACGTGAACATATGTTGCAATTATGGTCACATAATGCTAATGTCACCGTGGTGCGTTGAGACGAGTCCTATGGCATAAAACACTAAGAAAGCTGGCAGTCACCAAATCACCTTTGTCCCCATTATCTTAAATACTGCCAATACTGTGGAGTCACTGGAATGCAATCTACTTTAGCCCATCTCCCTTAGGGTTCCACTTGTGGAGTGAAATCCCACAAGAGTTAGGAACTGTGCCAAACAACAATGGTGCATACTAGTTTTCTGGTGATACAGACCGTCGAGGCTTGGTTGGCAGTGATGCTCCACTTTCTCCTCATATATGCCTCACGGCACCTGCCAGATGGCCAGTGGCCATGAAAACTGAAGCCAAGGCCAGAAGCCAGAGCAAAACAGAATTGGCTGACACTAGTGGTGAGCCATCAACATGACAGCCTATTGCTCTAGTTTCCCGTGGACTGATGACACTTAAAACACCCAGCCAAACCCGCACTTCCGATGACCCATATTGGGACATGAAGACCTTTTAAACATAAGTGTGTCCCAAATATTATATAGAATTTATCTATTAAAAAAAAGTAAAACCACCCTCATTGTTGATCTAAAATTCAAATCTAAACAGACATTCTGTACTTTATGCACTGATTCTGGCAAATCTACCTCCAGGAAAACTCCCTTATTCTGTTTCCCACCATTTGGAAACCTACTGGATATGTGTGCACATGTGTGTGTGCCTATGTGTATGTGTGTGTACATGTGTGTAGAGGTAAAAAGACAACTTGAAAGAATTGGTCCTCTCTTTCCACCATGTGGGTCCTGCAGATTAAGCTCAGACCACTAAGTTTAGCAGCAATAGCCTTTACTCACTGAGCCATCTTGCCAACCGCAAGCCTATAACTATTTTAGTAGACATATATTCTTTGTTAAGTAGTATATTTCCCTTCTTCTGCATCTATCATTCCTTAATATGATTGACCAATAGCATGATAGGAGTTTCTTCACTATCAAGTTTTTCTCCTAGGAAACAGCATTAGTACCTCCATGCTTCCGTTCCCTCCAACACACACAATTTGGGAGCACCTCTTTAAAATACATGTCCCCCTGTCTTAGATTGGGCATTTGGCTCTTTTAGCCAAACCACTAACCTCTCCTACAACTGTTTCAAGTGCAGCCTTTCCAACAGATAAATGGAGGATATAAATCATCCCATCTGTCCCCACACAGAGGGGCCCAGGTCGCTCTGGAAAGCTACATGGGATTTCTACAGTCTTAACTGCTCTTTTAAAAAATCTGTTTTCTATCATGAAGAAATGATCTAAAAATACTTGCAGAGAACACCAGGACAAAGCCATCACAGCGATCTCTCCAAAGGACTCAGGTTTCTATAGATTTCATCATCTTCTGTCACTACGCATTCTGAAATTTAAAGAAAGTCATGTCTGCTTGGCAGATGAAATGCCCCAAAGTATTAATTGGCAAAATTCCAGTTATCTATGGTATATCACAGAAGGTAAAAATCAAATAAGTCAAAAGTAAACAAGATTTAAAGTGTATTAAGATTCATGATGGATTTTTAAAGCTTTGTGAAAGCATTTCTACTAATAATCAATTGGAGAAAAGTGTTTATTAAATCAATATAAATACAAAAAATAGTTGCCATTCAAGTAAACTGAAAGCAGAACTTATGTGTCTGATAATGTAATCTTTGGTGTTTGATTGGAAAATTATTTTTCCAAGTATGGAATCTAACCCAGGGCTTCACACAACCTAGATAAATTCTCCACCACTAAGCTACATTCTCAGTACCCCCAGATAATTTTTAAAGACTTATTACTATTGTATGAATGTACTGTTGAATGCATATGGATACTTTCTTGCATGTATGTATGTATAACATTTGTACGACTGGTGTCCACAGAGGCCAGGAGAAAATGCCAGAGCCACACAACTGGTGTCACAGATGGTTGGTCGTCATCTAAAACGAGGGCTAGGAACTGAACGCCGGTCCTCTGCAAGAGTAGCAGAGGGTCCTAACTAATGAGCCATCTCCCTACCACATCCTCAGATTAATGCTCATAGATGCTAACATTGCTGAGTCTCTCTCTCGTTAGGGCTGCACCACCAGGGCCGGACTCATTTTCTCTCCTGTAAGAACAGGACTCTCATTTCAAAGAAGCAGAGTTTGCACTGAAAATGGGTAAAGACAAAACATGAACAGTATGCCGGTTTGGTCAACACAATTTTGAAACTTTTGCCATCTCAAGGCTGAGGGTGAACAAACAAGTGAACGAGAGATGGGGGGGAGAGGAGGAATGGAAAGAAAGAAAAGAAGGGAAGAAGAACGAATGAATACAAACAGCTGACCTTTGCTGGGAAGCTCTGTCCTGGGACCCCAGGGTCCTTGCTCAGAAGGGAGGCTCTGGCCACTTCATAAGCTCTTCTCTCGTCCCATAAATTCACCCCTGAATCAAAAGAAAAGCAGCTGGGTTTTCATTCTGGTGGAAGAATTTGGCATCAGAAGCTTATTACAAAAATGACACAGTGAAAATACTTGGAAATTGAGCGAGTCCAGGGAAAGGCTAGCATCCATTAAATCACAGTAAGCATTAGAAACGAGTGAATTCTGTCAATCTCAACATTAAAATACTGTACCTTAAAGACAACAAACTGACTTATTTTCCTTCCAGGCCTATAATCCATGTTAGATTATTAGTTCAGGCAGAGTATATAATTCAGTGCTTCAATTAACACTGAAGCACACATGCGGTGACTTTTAAAAATGATAAATTAGGGCTATGCTTAAGATCAACTCGGTATTAAAAGTCCCAAGGCCTTAGCTGTATTAAGACTAAATCCATTTACTTAAGTCTCAATGAATCTGTTAGACACAACGCCAAGTCTCCTCTGGGCACTTAGGAAGTCTAATTTTATATACTTTGGTAAGTGATTCTATAGATAAAATTAATTTGCCAGTTCAGACCAACTAGACTGGTTTATTATTATTTTTTAACTAAAGTCATTCAAAAAGCTGTCCTACACACTTGTTTCTTGGGGTCTTGTCTGTGGAGCCTGACAGGCCACAGGTTCAGTTCAGCCCCATTTCCATAAGCTAACCCAATGGAAAGAATAACATTTTTCTCTTCTGGAGCGTGTATCGTTTTCATAACCAGCATGGTGATTTCTCTGGACTTGTTCGCCTATGAGGTCACACCCTTGCTATTTGGTGGGCCTGGAGGTGAGGGATGGGACCAGATTCCCCCACGTGTTATTCCCATTCCTTCAGCCAGAATCCAGGATTTTCAGACCTGAGTCATAATAGCACAGTTTCAAGTTACTAAAGACTTCATATTTATGGGGCACAAACGGTATTGAAATTTTAATCCTAGACATTTTACAATTCCCCTAAGACTTCTAAATCCACACCGTTTTATCATTCTCGATGTGGAAGTCTGCAGTTATAGTCAGGTTACAAAGGGATTACTACTGGAACATCAACCGTCTCGTGTAGCCTTTCCAGAACATTCTCAAAGCTGGTCTCAAGCATTCTGAACCCCTGATTGTTGAGCAACTAGGGGTGAAAAGTCATGAGCATGGCAAGAGGCAGAGGAATGAGCTGGGTCCCTTGGCCATGTTGGGAAAGAGAGAAGAGGATGGTGGGTACAGGTTAGGGAAGGAGGGGAGGAGGACAAAGGCATTTGCAATGAGTAATATTCACGCCTTCTAGCCAGAGATGGTATAATCGCCTATGAGAGAAACTTCTGGGCACATCTGAGAGAGCTTATAATTGGGTTCACTGATGTGAAACGACCCTAAAGTCGGTGACACCTTCCTATGGCTGGAGTTCCAGAGTCAGCAGAAAGGAGACACTTTTGCTTCCTCACGGTGGACGCAATGTGACCAGCAGCTTCAGACCCCTGCCGCTATGCCTGCCTTTGCCACGATGGATGGTTCCCTTGAACGTGAGCTCAAACAAGCACTTCCTTCCTTAAGTCGCCTTGGCTTAAGTGTTTGGTCACAGCAAGGAAGGTAATGAATATCGTAGTCAGATGACACAAATCCTCAGAGATGAATCTGCCTGTGAGTGATGACATCTGTCCACAACAGGGCTTGCCAGAGAGAAAAGAACACTGTCTGGATGGAAGACGTCAGAAGTCCACCTCACTGCAGTGGCTCATGCTGACAGCCTGGAGCCCTGTGTCTTCGTCTGCTGTGCATCGAGGGCTTGTCACCATGGCTTCCTGGTTCCATTGTTGCACAGGTTGTGTATCCATGGCTTGTCACCATTGCTTCCTGGTCCCATTGTTGCACAGGTCGTGTATCCATGGCTTGTTACCATGGCTTCCTGGTCCACTGTTGTACAGACTGTGAATCCAGGGCTTGTCACCATGGCTTCCGGGTCCCATTGTTGCACAGGCTGTGTATCCATGGCTTGTCACATGGCTTCCTGGTCCATTGTTGCTCTACCTCTGTTCACTCACTCGCCGAGTAATATCCACTTTGGTCTTGCTCATGGGTGCTCTACACGTAGTGCTTCTATTCATAAAGCCCATTCTGTCCACTCAGACCAGCACCTCCTATTGTTCCCTGATGCTAGTGTTTTCTATCTGCATTATGGAAACCCCGTTCTCTTAAATCTACTCTATCCCAGGAGATGCAGCAGTGTCAACCCTGGGTCTAACCTATGAACACAAAGGGAACTGCCCTCTGATGGTCGTACTTGACAGAGAGACAACAGAATGAACGTGAGCTTGCATCCTTAGTCTGGAAACCCAAACTCTGAAACCACCCCAGATACAAACATTCTTGACCTAGAAATGCTGCTATCCCTGGCTCCTTGTGATGGTCACAATGCAGGTACTCTAATGCGGAGTGTGATAAAGTATATGCGGAAGTGGGTTTAAATAGTATGTGAGACACACAGGGGCACTGGGAGATGGTTCAGTCCATAAATTGCCCGCTGTGTGAGAGTGAGGATGGAAATTCAGATTGCCAGTATCCATATGAAAGCAAGGTATGGCGGTGCACATCCATAACCCTGCATTGACTGTGTGAGGCAGGCGGACACAGAGGGACCCCTGGAGCTCACTAGCCAGCCAGTCTAGCCAGTTCATGAGTTTTGGGTTCAGCAAAGGAATAATAATGTCTCAACAGCATCAGCATCATCAACAATAACAATAATATTAATAATGTGTAAAGAAACAGAAAATAACCCAGTATTGACCTCTGGCCTCTATTCACCCATGCCCATAGAAACACATAAACAGCAGAAAATTGCTTTTATAAATATACAAGTGAATTTTTGAGTTTACACATGAGGCACATCTCCAAAGTATTTAGTAATACATATGCATGTAATATTCTAGAATCTAGACAGTTTCTGAAATAATTTCCAGTCCCAAGGAAGCAACCAGAAGAGGCGCTCAGCCTGTAAGACTGATTCCGAGGGCATCACTTGTGCTATGAGAGGAGACTGGAGGAGGAGGCTCTGCATCCTACATCCTCTGCATCATTCTTGGACCTCTTCTGCAAATTCAACATTGCCGCAAGAGAAGGACAACAACAAGGAAATCAGTGAATGGGGAGTGGCTGGCGATGAGACCCTTGAGGGAGAAGCCAGGAGAAAACATTTAGAATACTGCTGGCCTTGTGGAATACATGAGCGGAGACCTGCAGGTTAGAACTCTTTTAGACCCAGTGGGGCCCCCAGAAGGCAGATCACATTGGCCAAGAAGAGTGAGTGTTACCTTCCATCTGTGATAGGCAGAGTGTGGCCAGCTGATCACACCTAGTGCAGCTTAGCCATAGCTCGTCCCTATGGCATTACGCTTGGGACTTCACTGACACTTGGGTGCTTTACCTGGGACTTAGGAGACTCACACATCATAGTGGGTTCTGATCCAGTGAGGCAGCTCCTGCCAATTCCCACCGTAGTCTGTAAAGGGCTTATGAGAGAGCTGGTAGGGTACTTGAATTGGGCAAAGGCCATTTGAACATACCAGTACTTGTGAACAACCAGCACCACTGAAAACCATGCCAGGTGCCAGAGTGACTATGGCCACCATGGTGTTCTTTGCAGTCAGGTACTAGTGTCATGAAGGTGGGCACAGGCATCTTAGCCTTCCTCCCACATAAATGTACCAGATGATTTATAGGCTACCCCTGCCAGCTTTGAGCTAAACTAGCAGTACAAGTCAACTTGTTAAACTGGTAGAGAGTAAGGGCAGTTGTGCTAGGACCTGATACTTGGCAGAAGAGTGCTGACACCGATATCACCAATTCCCTACCACCCAACCCCAGCGAGAGGAAGACAGAATGTTTTTGCATACATTCCAGCTACAGCAGAGAAATGCCTACGAGACTTCCACATAGGCTTGAGGCGAGGTCTCTGCATGTTCTACAGCCCACTGCAGTTGCTGTCTTAGATGGACAGAGATGATGCATGGTTCGTTAATCAAGCCATTACCATCTTCTTGCCGAGTAGAGATACCTTGACTTTGGGAGCCTAAGGGAGGCCTGAGTGTGGGTAACTTGCATTTGATCATACTGAGGCTCAAGAAACCCAATGTGAAGAACCTTCTCAGTCTTCAGGGCCAGTTCCTCCGCATTCTAGGTGACAGAAAAGGACAGCTATTTGATTTCCTGTGGGTCAAACATTAAATGTGGCCACACATTAAACACTCCCCTGAACTTTCACCTACATTTTTCAGTCTCTGAATTCAAAGTAAGACTCTTCTATTGGCTCTAAAGTCCTCCACAAAGAGACTTTATTTCTAGTTATTCCTAGGAGAATCTGAAGGCAGGCTGGACCAATGCGTGTGAGACATTTTGCAAGGCTCCGGAGAAGTTGCACAACTGCCCTATTTGCTGAGCACAGTGTTTATTATCTGTGTACAGGAATCATGGAGCCATCTCTGGGCTTTTTAATTGGTTGCACAATATCCCCTCCATGGGATCTGTGGTCAGGAGGCTGTTTCTTATGAGCTCTGCTTATGTATTTATGCACTAGTATTTCTTTTAGATGATACAAATAAAATTTTTATTTGTGCAGCATGGGTAGACAGGATGAATTACACACAGCTGTGAGATATCAGGATGTATTTTATGCAGCTATCTTGTTGACAAACCGTAAGAGGAGGTCTTGAATGATGCATACGTTCAGAAAATATGACCTTATAAAATGCACAGTTTGTACACAGTTTGTTTTTCGTAATCTGTATTTGGGCATCAACAAAACTCACTGTTATCTAAAGAAGAAATGTGGGCAACTCATACTGGGGAGAAGCTTCCAACTTCTTTGCTCCTGGGTAAACCCGACATGCCATTTGCTCTGTGGATAAAGAGTCTATACCCGTCTCTTCGTGGAAACAAGGCACAGTAGATACTTTTACTTTTATTACTAATTATCTTCTTTGAGAATGAACTCTCATCATATGCGTGTGTGCGTGCGTGTGTGTGTGCATGT